CTGCGGGACAGTGTCATAAAGAGCGTCCATATGAGCAAGAAATGTGGCGGACCCTGGCGGACCTGACAGTTTCGTTGGCAATATTGCCCCCGGGTTCCGCGACGCATCAAATTCAGACACCAGGGAGTTCGTCCATCTCGCGATTATTTCGTGTTTTACGAACAACTCGTGAGGGGAAATTACTGCACATCTGTCAAAGGAATGTGATACCGACAAGTCGGGACTGCCTCGAGACTTGCGCGTGTCATCTGCGGCACCCACTCTGAGGGAGGAAGCAGGTCATCTGGGGAGAACCGGGTTAGATGAAGATGCTTATCGGAAACTATCGGGAGCAAACCGCCACTCTGGCGATCGTTCGCCCGATCGTGGAATTTCCCCAAGGCGACGCGTTGCGGGCGGGGCACCGTCCCGGTCCCGACTGGACGCCCAAGAGGTCGAGGCGGTCAAGAGAAGAAAGGCTAGGACTGAACGTACGCATGGATAGCCCCCATCTAGGGAAACGCAAGTAATTCAGGCCCCTAAGGGCTTTGAAATGAAAATCGGGGAGTTAAATTTCTTCAACACACGTAACACTGGGTCGGAAGCGACGATAGAAATCCTTGTTTAGTCCAAATTATATGTGGCGAAAACGGGAAATATAGTCGCATATAACCAGGACGAGGCCGTATCGCGATGTCATGTGAGTGAGGAAATGAAAGGCGGGGGCCCATACGGCGTATGCGCATACAATGACCTCACGGCCTCGAAGCGAGATGTTATCGTAAGAGACTTCGAGGCTCGGCGCATATAATCAGCTTTTCGAGGTGGGGAGGATAGAACTTATCATCACATACCTTTTCTTCATGAATCATACATCAGACAGTTCCATTGCGACCCTATCATGCTTCGAGACGTCCTGGGATGTCGAGGTAGCTGCGTTCAACACACGTAACACTGGGTCGGAAGCGACGATAGAAATCTTTGTTGAATCCAGGTTATATGCGGCAAAAAAGGGAAAGATAGTCCCATGTAATCAGGACGTGCCTGTAGCGTCATGTGAGTGAGGCAATGAAGGGCGGGGGACCATACGGCGTATGCGCATACAATGACCTCACGGCCTCGAGGCGAGACGTTCTCGTAAGAGACTTCAAAGCTCGGCGCATATAACCAGCTCTAGTCGAACATGAGCGAGAAAAAGCAGGATAAATCTTGCATATAATCAGCTTTTCGAGGTACGCAGGATAGAACGTTATCATCACATACCTGTTCTTCATGGACCATACACCAGACAGTTTCATTGCGACCCTATCATGTTTCGAGACGTCCTGGGATGTTGAGGTAGCTGCGCGAGGCCAACGGAAGGAACTCCCGAGTCGACGATATCTGTCAACGATGGCGAAAGGCGTGGATTCAAGTTGTACAGCGTGCCAGAAACTTGGATACGTCGGTGGTAAATGGACCAGATTCCTCCTTGGTTCATTTCTTGTTCAATCCCTTCGGAAATTCACAAGAGAGACCCATCGTAACGTGCTCCTTCAGTGAATCTCCTACAAAGAAAAAATTATATTTTCATTCTCAACGTTGGTTTGTCGGTGACTGACCTATATGTGAATGCCAAGGATACGAGTGAGGCTCCGTCGTGCACCGTGAACTATGAAGTCGACAAGGACTGAAAATAGGAAACTGTGCAGAGGCGGAGGGCGGCAAGTGTTGGGAGTTGTTTTCAAATTCTGCATCCGAGTTCTTCGATCCCGGCAGCCGGGCCGGAGTGTCGGTTTCTTTCCCTCCCAACTGTGGCCTGCCCCCCTCGGCTCGTGCGACTCCTGGAATCGGGGCGTATCCCCAATAGAATGTCACCTACTGTACTCCGTCTCGCCTCAGGTGACGCTTTGACTACCAGACAATGCGGCAATTCCCCTGTCAGAAATCGCTCAGTACTGTATTAGGCGAGTTCCAGCTCCATAAATTCAATCAGATATCAGTTCTCGTGTTGCCACTCTTTCGCAGATGTCAAATCTAGTGTGGTGTGCTGACGTAGCAAAAGAGCATGCCAAAGGAAAAGGCAGTTCAAGAGTGTTGCGCTTCCAGTGCTTACTATCGGTACCCTCAATGGAGTAGTAACCATGATCATCACCTTTTTCATAATCGAACACGAAAGTCGTTTCACCCTCGTTTCACCATTCTTTTTGCCGTTTGCTCCTAGTGCCTTGCGTGGCCATTGACCCGTTTCCCAGATATAGAAAAAGCATGCTGACTTCTGGGTGGGCGATCTCCTAGCTGGTATGAGCCTTATATGTAGATTGACCCCGCTTTACCTTTGCTATATGTACAGAAAACGAGAACGTAACGTACGTGCCGGGGCAACACCTGGACCTCCGGAAGCTGAAGTAGCGGCACGGTTTCACTGATGAAAACGAAAGAGCATGATGGATTCCGATGCCCTCTCGGGGACCAGAATTGATCCAAAGAAGAAAAAGCTTGTAATGATTTCAAAGAGACGTGCCACTTTCATTGTGGCCTTTGTTCGGTCATCGGCGCCCTTATAAACCAGGTTCACCGTCTTTCAACCACACACTCTGCCACCTGCGCCCCGTCCCTCTTTCCAACACTTATAGTTAAGTCCCGCCAGTATACTGTAAAAAGTGAGTACAGCTATTCATCTGTTCTTTCCGAACTGATCAGTTTGTGGTCTCTCAAAAGAAGGAAAGAAGAAATGGAAGCACCACTAGAAGACAATCCTTCCACCAAACTCAACACGAGTTTCAAAGACCCATTCGTACCGAGGTGTCCTTGTTGCGGATTTACATCCCTGGAGAAGTCTATACCACAACGTCTTCCTTCATCACGAATCACGGAGCTATTCTCTTCCAACAACGCACCTCTCGATTCTGAACGTGCCTCACTCAATGCCGCCACTCGTGAGGGCGCTGAATACCTCTCTGAATTACAGCAGCGCATCTCCACGACGAGAGAAACACTCCAGGCGCTCCTTGAGGAGCAGACTCGACAAATGAAAGACCTGGCGGACGCCAAGGCGCTCTTAAATCCCATTCGCAAACTACCACAAGATGTGCTCATAAAGATCTTCAGTGCGTGTGTCCCCACCCACATCGACGATATGATCTATGCATTTCCTGACGAGTATGACTCCCTCAATACCAAGAACCCCCCATGGGTATTATCCCAGGTCTGCGCGAGGTGGAGACGCGCCACTTTGGCAACACCGGCACTATGGTCATGCATCAGCCTAGCGATGGACAAGTATGTGAACCACATGGAATGTATCTTCCGCTTCAGCATTTTGGTAGCGCGGACGGGGACCCATCCTCTCATGGTCTGCATCGACGCTGATGCTGATTTCTCACGGCACCCCCTTCTCGCAATGGTTTTGCCTACGTCGTCGCGATGGACTGATCTGAGTGTGACGGCCCCGTTACCATCCTTCCTCCCGTTCAACAACATCTCGCATGCTTTGCCTCTCCTCCAGTTTCTCGACATCCGCGTGACTGGCGCGCCGGGCACAGGGTCTGAGTCCACCCATGTTGTTCGTGGATTCGCATATGCCCCAAACCTCCGCTGGCTCAATCTTGACGATCAGACGATGCCAGCAGGACTCACTCCATTCTCGCAGTGGTTGAGACTGCCAATGGACTCGGAAAAAGTATCGCGGTTGAATGCTTTCACGACGCCTGCTGATGCCGCTTCTCTCTTGGAGTGGCCCGGGGCAAAGAACACGAAGGAGTTCTGCCTCTCGATGCTTACCTCTCCGTGTCTGGTACAGCAGATTGTCAATGTTCCGATGATCAGACATACGCTGCTGCAGAACCTCAGCGTCACTGAAGACGCGTCGGAATGTACTCCGGGGTCTATCGCAGAGCTCGTATCCCATCTCTGCCTACCTGCGCTGCAAAAACTGACACTGATTTACAAAGAGGGGACAATGATCTTGCCGACCATAGACCATGACACCACACCCGTCTTGACGGATCTCGAGATCCTGTCAGACCCCCCGGCAGTACTGGATGAGCATTCATTGATCGACATGTTGAGGTGGACCCTGAGGCTCAGGCATCTCAAGCTCGCAGTAAGGTTCACCTCACCCGGCGTGTTCCATGCTCTGGGGGACATCGAAGATGGAGTTTTCGAGCTGGTTCCCTGTCTGAAAACTATCTCTTTGATGGGGGCTGAGTTTCGGTTTGATGACTATGGTCATGTAATTACTGAGACGATCGAGGCCAGATCTAGGACAGAACACGAGGATGCGGCGTTCAGGTTCTTGGAAGAAGTTTATTTGAACGAGGAGATAGGGGATGAGGAGATCTGGGAAGAACTGTGTCATAGAGGCCTGAAAGTATTTGTGATAGCAACATGACGGAATAATGGTAAATATTTGTCGCAAGACAAACTGAAATTTAGAAAAATGCGAGTTTAGCGTACGTCGGCTGGCTTGTGTTTATCAACCAAATTTCATGTCCCTCTTCTCCACTCTTTACTATCCTGATCGGACGTCAAGACTCAACAATCAAGCATGGGGGGACAATGCACGAGAACTCGACAGTCTAAGCTCAGGACAGGCTTAGCTATCCAGGGAAACAAGCAGTATTTTATGAATCCTGTAGCTCAATGTCCCTTATGGCAGTAATTTTAAGTTTTTGAGGAGACCAGTCGTGGGTGAAGTTAGAGGGAAAACTCGAGAACCTTCAAACCATCCATACGCATCCTGCTCCAGAACGTCAATTCCAATGTGTGTTTACCTCGGAGCAAGATATCCAACATTGCCGGGCTCGTATTATTGCTGGGTGTTCCTGCCTCGAAGTTCCCGTTAGGTCCATACACGGGCTTGGGGTGGAATGGGTCAGAGGGAGGGGCACGTCACACATCCTGAGGCAACAAGAGAGGGGGACTCAGCCAAAGTTCAACCAAGCATCGAAAAGATAAAACTGCTTCTCTTGACAGTGGGAAATGACCGTGATAGCAAAGCGGGGCTATTTGTTTCTGGGGGATGGCCAAGAAGATAACAAGTGATATGGTGTAACGGCTAACATTGCCGCCTATCATGAATGGATATCGTGTGCGGCAGCCTGGAGTTCAATTCTCCGTATCCGAGTCCCTAAAAGCTGTCATGTTCTGAAAAATTTCCCTCGCAGTTTTTGCTTAAAAATTATATTCACAATTCATTAGTAGCCTGAGATCTATGATAAATACCGTGCAGAATTGACTTTTGGAAGGGTGTTGTACGGAGAGGCAGTCAAGGAGAATAGACAACGATATATATTAATGCTTTAGACACAACACTCTACGAAGAGAATAGATCAGGATCCTGTGAACCTGAACGTCAGAACGGTTTTGGGCGTAATAGATGGAGAGACATACCATTATCGTGTGAGGAGTGTGCACAATCAGCTTTTGGTATCCAGAAAAAGGTGTCGCGTGGGTAAGACAGAGGAACGCAAGAATATAAAAAGAAAAGAATCGTAGGTGAAAAAAGGGAGCCGCGCGCGCAGCTTGCTTGTCCAGAAAGAAAGCGACGGAAATGAACCATCTAGGCACGCATATAGTTCAGAGTAGTACTATAGATTCTCGCCATCTCCAAAGTGATAGTAGCACGTAGCCACCCTTGTCTTCAAGCGTTGTGTAGCCCAAAAACTCGGGGAGCCAGAGCTGAGATCCTGCTCTTTCCGGTTGCAGGGCGTCTGCGAGGGACTTGCGATGGCGGAATATTCTCTGAGTCGATGATTGGTTTAGGTTTTGCTACGGGTCTGGACTTGGGCTTGGGCTTTTTGGTGGATATCGTTTTACGCATGGTGGGTATCGCTTTGTGACGGTATTTTTGAATCCTGTAGTACTATATCCGTACAGTCAAGCAATGTAAACGTATCTTTGGTGACAATAATTTGAGTTTTTGAGGGCTAGTCGCAGGCGACTCTGTCGTTAAGTATGAAGTCAGAAGAAAAGGATGCGTCCAACTCAAGAAACTCCAAACTATGGAAAGAGGTTTGGTATAATGCACTCCGGAGCTCTTCGCCAAGAGCTGTACGTCGAATGAGGCCGCATTATAGGATGTCCGTCGCGGTCAACACACGGCAACATTGGACGTCACAAGAGTCTGTCATCGCGCATGTGATTCGTGACACTAACGTCACCTACTCATCAACTATCAGAGTCATTTGCGCCAGTCACCCATTGGCTGGGCCATGCAATGTTTCATCGCTATGTAATTATATACTCTGATGTTTAACAGCCATTCTAATCTGTTTGTAGCCTGGTATCTGTTAGAATCGCGGGGCCGTTCTCAAACGAAGTGAGTGGCAAATTGGGATTACATCTGGGGCAAACGCGACATGGGGACTGACTACGAAATATTCTAGCTTATATACTACGAAATCCCCTCGGAAATAAGTCAACATGTAAATAGTGGATCACTACGAGAACCAACGGCGACTAACTGTCTGCCATGAGAAGCTCGCACATCTCACAGTATCATCTTTCAAAATCCTGATACACCGTTTCTAGGTTCTAAATCTTCTGATGGCGACCCGCCTCTTCAATCTCAGCAATCCTGACGGACCACGTGTATACCCAGTTTTGATGCTCTACCTTTCTTCTTGTCCTACATCGACTACCGGGCATCCAGATACTCGATGACTTTCTTGCTGTGAAGTTGATTTTGACTTCAAGCCTGCGTAACCATTGTCTGGTATCATTGTCGCCTTGCTCAAATCCTGCATATCTCCTGGCGCTAATCTCCAAGTGATTCAGTGCCGGCGTTATTCAACCGTCTTCTTGTCGTCCATCTCGTCTATGCAGCCCATTGGTCAGACCTTACGACATTGGATTGCTACAATTATTTATGGATGAGCTTCTATTTAATTAAATAGCTATTCTAACCTCTGTTTTCATCGGTTAATTATATAGATATTAACAAAAATAAAAGCACTCCTCGCCCTGTGTAATAAGGGTCTGATACAATCTATCTCCTGAGTCCTTGTTATATAAAGTCGCCGGCTGATCCCCAAGTTCTTCTGTGCTTCAGTTCCCACCATCTTGTCAGCTTGCTCGTCTTTCGCTTATCGTTCCCGTTTTCTTCCAAGACAGAGACGTGTCCAATCTCAAGAAATGCGGCCTTTCCTTCTTGTATGGATGCTGGTGGTGCATTTTATGGCATCGGGTACTGCACAGGACCTCACACCGGCTATTTCCTGGAGAGTGAGTACTCCTTCTCTGGCTGCCCTGAAACATAAAATGTTAATATAAGAACTAGAGCCCTAACATCACATCGTCTAAGGATGACCGCATTAGCATTGCAAGTGCTGCTATTGAAAAAGCTGTTAGCATGCTTCAGCCCGATGGGCAATTCGGCGGTGTATTTCACTCTGTTTCTAGCGTTGTGCGTCCGTTTCAAGTATCCTCAGATTCCGCGTACCTAAGCGCTAACAGGCTTTACGCACAAATGGCCGAATTTGATAGACTGACGAACCAAACAAAGTACAAACAAATGTTGAAACAGTGGTTTTCCCTAGCAGAGACGGCTGATTCTGGTGGTTTAAATACTCTGTACGCTCTCACTATCCTTCCTGGAGCACTGCTGACCGACCTGGATGCAGTGTTGGTTCTATTTCATGCAAGCGATTCCCGAATAACTAATGACATCATTTTCGATGATAGTTGAACTTTAGGCTGTGAGCTGGATCATGTCCTGATGTTCTCTTGTTACTCATTCTCTATAGGGAACATGGATATGCTGTAATTCGGGCTTACGCCGCTTATCAAGACCAAGACTTCTTGGATCGGGCTGTGACTTCATGGACTTTTGCGAGGCAATACACGATATCTAAAGAGCAAGCTGCCTCGGGCACCATAGATATTAAGCAATTCAACATCGCATCGTCCTGTAATGGCGGTGAGTGTCACCAATTGCTACAACTGTTCCATGTACTGATTCTAGTTCACAGCGACGATGGCAGGCGGCACCTATTACGTGAGTCATGCTTCACTTTCACGTCTCGCTAGTCAATCAACTTGAATGGACTAGAACACTGATATCAATAACACGGATCTCTACAGTATGGCCTCTGTGTTCGTGTTCTTTTTTTCATTTTTCAATCCATTGTTTACTCTGAACAACCAGCTTTTTTCTTGCGTGCGCACCATAATCTTCTCTGATATGGGGTGGACGCTTATCTGACTACGGCAAAGCGTTTCGGCTCTATTGGCAGAAGCAACGTCCAACCAGACATATCTCGATGCCGCCATCGAGTCAGCAAATTTTATCCAGTCGCATCTTCTTAATCCGTCAAGTAATATTGTATGGTATTCTATGTCGTCAAACGAATCTTGCTCTGTAAACACGGCGGAGAACTCCTTCAATTCTGGGATCTTCATTGGAGGATTAGTCATCCTAGCTAATATCACCCGTAACGTGTCAACTGAAGCCTTGTATGTGGTGAAATATCCTGGTTGTCTGCATATAGAACGATGACTTTCTGATAGATTGTGCAGTACTGTCGCTGCCGTTGCAACCAATACACAATGGCAAGGGTTGGACGGAATCATTGCTAGTATGTTTTCTGTTCATGATTTATCTCATGAGATCATCGTTCTTGTTTGAAGGTTCACCTGCGCAGCCTGGAGGGTATTACATTGTACAGGCCCTGGCGGCGTTATATGAGCGCAACACGACATTCTCTGATCTTCGCGAATATATTAAAGAATACATCGGTGTGCAGGTGAGCCCTCACAAAATCTACCTTCCTAAATGACATGGCTTATTTGACTTTGGCGAAGTATAACGCCGTCACCGAGCTTGCCACCTCAGGTGGGAGCAACATTTACGGGGTCTGGACAGGACCGCCAAGCACCTCGTTCTCCAGTGATAACCAGACTATAGCGATAAGCGCATTGCTCAGTGGGGTACAGCTTGCAGACGACCAGCCATCATCGAAATCAAGTGATAATCCCACTTCGACTGCTATCCCTAGCTCAGGTGGGAGCACATCCCCGTTGCCCACAAAGAAGAGCCCGACTGGAGCAATAGTTGGAGGTGTCGTAGCTGGACTGGCAGGTCTTGTGATTATAATCGCGGGCACCCTTCTCCTGCGTAGAAAGCGTCGTCGAAGAAACGAGAGCCATTTTGCTGTGGACGGCTCTTCTCCACGAATGCTTACACCATTCATGGATACATCAATTCCAGTGTCTTCGGAGACATCAGGAGAACGTCATATGAACCAGACGAAATCTGCTAGATTCTCCTTGGCTGAAAATAGAGGGGAGCCCTCTTCATCTAGGGGGTTAGCTGCGAGGAGAGGGATGGATGTACATAATGAGTCGACGCCTCCATTCAGGGCTCCTGCAAGTCCGCCAAATCTGCTGCACTCAGAGAGAGAGGGTATGCCTACGCAGGATCTCCTGAGGTTGCTCAGTGAACGACTGCAGTCGAGCCGATGGAATGACATAAATGACGAGCTACCACCAGAATATCATGAAGGACAGACTATGTAAAAGACGTTACGCTCTATTGCATGTACCCCAATTAAATCCTTTCAGGAAAGTTGTGACAGGAAAGTTATGGTTGATTCTTGTAGTCCCTAGATTCTATTCTTTATTGTTGCTAAAAGTTGCGTCCACCGAATATTGGTTCTTCTGTTTAACAGTATTATGAAAGCCTGAGGCTGCTCACAAGGAGACAGCCTCACTGTGCTTACGATAATGCGATGGAACAGGAACGGTGTATGGATTGCGGACAACAAAGGATGAGCGTATGGGTGAGCGTACGTGGGAGTGGGGGAAAAAGGAAGAGAAGAGACGACTATCCTAACCTACGATATATATATATATCTATATATAGCTATCGATCTGTGCCCGCGGCGGCAATATAAGAGTGCATCGGCCCTAAATGTCGGTGTGATCGCCAATCGCCTGGATCTGTAGAGAAAGAAGTTGTAAGTCTGGCAACAGGCTTACATATTACTGATGTAATAGTTAGAACGAGATACGACATTCGATTCCCTACTGATGTATATATAGAGCTTCCCCATTTTCTTGTCTTCTGTTTCCAATTGACCTATCACGTCCAGGTCATGATTTTCCACAGCTGCACCCACAATATGAAATCATGATTTGGTAAAATTGCCGTGACTGGAGCGTCAGAACTGTGGTATAAGGTACGTAGGTTGCGGGAGACTGCAGGAAGAAGCCTTTCTTCCGAGAGTCACGTTCCTCCAGCTTAGTGAAGGGAACGACTTCGTGAAGACGAATATCGCAGGCTTCTTTCTTGAAAGCAAAATTGCTCTTTCTGACACCTTTGATCCTCTTCTATAACTACGATGGAAAGTTGACTTTTCCCTTCCCCGACACGGCTTATTTCTCCGGACTACAGACCCTATACATTGACTGTGATCTTTCATCTCATGTCGAGAATCCCAAACGCTTAGCATCTTTTCTTTCGACGATTCCGAATATAAGCTCGCTCACTATCTGTGCGGACGGTGTCAATAAAGCAGTCATATCGAAGCTCATTCGCCGGAAAAAGGAGGACACGATGCCTTGATCTGCGTGGCTCGGAATTTATGGTTTCGTATGCATTGATTGTGGATATGGCTGTGTCTCAGTGTAAGGAGCTAGTCCAAATTAAACAGACTTAGACCGCCGGTTTACATTTTGGCTGTGAAACAGATCTAGCTAAACTGGTTACCGTCTCTCTGACCCTTGACATTGCAAGCAAGAAAGAGTTATCAATACTCTACGAAGAGAAGAGAGACCGGAGATCAGTATCCTGTTCGCCCGAACGTCAGAACGGTTTTCGACGTAAAGATGGAGACACATACTGTTATCGCATAGGAGAACTGGACCAAGGCGAAGATTAGTTTGAGCCCCATGCATCCAGTTGCAGGAGGAAGGTGTCGCAGGGTAAGACAGAAGAACAGCAGAGTGGGAAGAAGAGGATTGTGTCGCTATGAGGTGAGGAGGAAGTGTGTGCATCTTGCTTGTCCGGAAAGAAAGCTGCAAGGAGCAACGGAACGAATACTTAGTTGCGCATATAGTCAGGTGCTAGATCCAACGCGTACCTCTGAAAAGCCAGGGTGGGGTTCCGTCTATGCAAGATGTAGTAGATCCCTGGCGTTTCAAAGTGACAGTAGCATGCGCCGTTTTCTTCAAGCATTGTGTAGCCCGAAAACCCGAGGAGCAGGAGCTGGTATCCTGCTCTTTCCTGCTGTGGGACGCCTGCGAGGCCAAGATGGGACTTGCGATGGTGGGATATTCTCCTAGTCGATCTGAGGCAAAGAGAGGCAACAAGAGAGGGAGAGCCAAAGTTCAACCAGGCATTGAAAAGATAAAAACTGCTTCTCTTGACAGTGGGAAAATGACCATGATAGCAAAGCGGGGACTATTTGTTTCTGGAGGATGGGTAAGAAGATAACAACTGACAAAGTTATGTCAGATATGGTGTAACGGCTAACATTGCCGCCTCTCATCGGCAGATTGTTCGATCGCACGCGGCAGCTCGGGGTTCGATTCCCCGTATCCGAACTTATAATTTGGCCATCATCTGAAAATTTTCCTTTGAAGTTTTGCTTACACACATATTATATTCAAGTTTCATTAGCAGGTCTATGGTCTTACTATGGATGAGCCATGTATAACTTACAAAAACAATGCTTTAGGCTCTACGAAAAGAAGAGGATCCTGTGAACGTCAGAACGGTTTTGGGGCCGTGATAGATGGAAGACACACACACCGTTATATCGCGCGAGGAGCGTGCAGTGTCAGCTTTTGGTATCGAGAAAAAGGTGTCGCGGGGGGGGTAAAGACAGAGGAGCGCAAGAATATAAAAAGAAAAGAAATCGTAGGTGAAAAAAGGGGAGCCGCGCGCGCAGCTTATTTGTCCGGAAAAAAAAGTGACGGTAATGAACCATCCAGGCGCGCATATAGTTCAGAGTAGTACTATAGATTCTCGCCATCTCCAAAGCGATAGTAGTACGTCGCCCACGCTTGTCTTCAAGCGTTGTGTAGCCCGAAAACCTGGGGAGCCAGAGCTGGGATCCTGCTCTTTCTGGCTGCAGGGCGTCTGCGAGGAACTTGCGATGGCGGAATATTCTCCGAGTCGACGACGGGTTTAGGTTTAGGTTTCGCTACTATGGGTCTGGACTTGGGCTTTTTGGTGGATATCAGTGATGTGGATATCGTTTTACGGGTGGTGGGTATCGCTTTGTGGGTGGTGGATATCGCCCTGGTGGGTATTGTTTTTGTGGGTACCGGCTTGATGGTGGGTGTTGAATTTGATGGGCAAGCCCGAGGGATGTGGCAGCCTCGACGGAGTTGGGAAGCATCAAGACCGTGGGCGTGTTGGCTAAGAAAAGTATTCTTCTCGTCGTTTGCCTCGTCATCGTCCTCCGTGCGTGATCCTCCTCGTCGTTGGTCTATTTCCAGCTCCTCGTAATACTCCTTCGAGATCCATCTGATCCGTCGTCCCGGATGTGCGTAATCAAGTTCTTCCGCCAGTACAGAAGCCGTGGGTAACGCCGAACGCGGTTCTTGCAGTCGCCATGTCGTGAGGAAACGTATCGCCTTGGGAAGAATCTCTGGTGGAATCGAGAGTAGTAACGAGCGGAGGTCGGAAGAGGACGAGGATGAATCGAGGTCGACTGGGGGTATCATGTCGACTGGAATTGAGGTGGAGGTATCCGGCGAGGCGAGCATATGGGGCGAGATGGTGGTATAAGAACAAGTTGTCGCTGTTTCCTTTTTAGGGACCACAGTACTCATTAACACAACCCCTCCATATTTTACACAAAAACGCTCAAGAAATATTAATTTAGATGGTAGCAGTACAGTGAGTGATACGAAAGCAAGAACCAAAACAATGTCAGTAACGGATCACCATCCCGCCCGCGCGCCGACCATATTCGCACCGATCCAAGGCGTCGAGAAGGGGATACTCATATTATGATTGAGAGGCGAGAGCAAAGCGCCCGGGTTGGGAGATGCGTAGATCGGGGATGTGAAGGATGGCGGTTGGGGAGGTGCGGGGTACATGTGCGGAGCTGCGAAGGATGGCGGTTGAGGAGGAGTGGCGTACATGTGCGGAGCTGGAGTCTTTGAGGGAGGCGGCGGGGAGAAATCGGCAGGAGGGATATAGCCTTGGGCAAGCGGCGAGTTGTTTGGCGCTTGGTAAGGACTCGACTGAGAGCGTGGCGGGGAATATAGGCTTTGATGGGGTGGTTGATACGGGCTGGGTTGGGTCTGAGATTGATGTTGATTGGGTGGTTGGTACGGGCTCGTCAGAGGCGGTAGCTGATACGAGCTGGTTTGGGTCTGCACCGTACGTTGGTGGGGTTGCTGGTACGGGCTCGCGTGAGGTGGTGGCTGGTACGAGCTGGCGCGGGTATGACTCGTCAGAGGTGGTGGCTGATACGGAGTGTACGGGCTGGTCAGTGTTGGTGGCGCAGAGTACGGACAGCTAGGCTGGTGTTGGTCCGGCGGGTAGTACGACTCCGAGCTGGCTGTCGATAAAGGCGGCGTTGGTGACTCGTCGCTCTCCGTCGACGTATCCGAATCCGAATCTGAATCCGAGTCATCTGGCTCGACCCACTGACCCAGCAGATACCTCCCCCTAGGCTTGCCCTTCTCCCCCCTCTCCTTCCCCCTCTTCAGCCTCCTCTCCCACTCCCTTATCTCCGCCTCCTCCTGCACAGACATCACACTCGCCTGCTTCACAATCGTCTTCGTCACCACCCCAGGATGCTCCCTCAACCACTCCTCCACCAGCCGCACCGCATCCCCAATCCGCACCCGCATCTCCGCGAGCTTCCACGCCGGCCACGCCGCGTACCCCATCGTCGCACACTCCGCCCTCACCCACCCCTCCACGATCTCCCGCGTCCACTTGCCCCCGCCCTTCATCCGGAGCCCGTTCAGCAGGATCACCACCACGTCCCCCGCGTCGTACTTCTCGTACCGCATCAGCTTCAGCCCCACCGCCCACCCCGGCGACACGCTCACCAGCCGCACGTGCCCCCGCTCAAAGATGCTGTTCTGCAGGAGGTTCCCCGCGTGCGTGCTGCCCTCCCATACCCCCGGCGGGAGCGCCACGTCCGCGTCTGCGTTCATCCAGTCCGCGCCGAGCCCGGGGAACGCGCGCGAGGTCTCTGTGATCGCGCGCGTGAGGGTCGTGCGCGCCGCGGAGCTGAGGGGGGTTGCGAGGTAGTCGACGTCGAGCGTGCTCTGCCGGGAGGTCGGGATCGTTTGGTAGGACGGGTGCAGGAGCATGGCGGCGCCGCCGTGGATGACGAGTAGGAGGGGCCCGGGGATGTGGTATGGCGAGCCAGGGTCCGAGAGCTGGTCGCAGAGGTACTTGAGGAGCGTCTCCAGCATCGGACGCGTTAGAGGGAGGGTGTTGGTCGTCATCGGTGCAGCATTAAGATCGTAGTGGCAGTCAAACTAACGGAACCTTTTTGTTGAAGCCTCGTGTAAGTCACGTGATAAACGTCATTAACCCTAAGCCCGGCTGTGATTGGCCTGTTGCTGTTCCGCGGAACAGCAACATGCGTTCTCTATACCGCCAAAACGTGTTTGCAACGCGCATCTCTACAGCACGACGTTCCGACATTCTTCCGGTCCAGTATTCCTGTGCATTCCCTTCATTATCAATGAACCTAATCTGTTTCCTTGTACAGGAAACACATATCAACCAGCTGTGTCCTTGTCCATACTGAGGAACATTCCCGAGAGCATTCCGTTTTAAGTTTATCAGCTTGTAAGTTTACCAGTTCGAACTTGGAAGAGTGGTTTATATGCGTCTTTGGTTACTCGAGATGACGATCCACCAAACACATAGCGCGTCATACTCTGTGCACCCTCAACAATATGAAAGGAAATGAAAAGAAGCCAACCGAATGGGAACGTCGATCAGTGCCCGAACGACGTGGCAACAAGCATTTTAGATTCAAAAAGTCCTGTGAACCTGTTATCGGATAAGTGGGAGAACAGAGACTCGGACCGAACTAAGGATCCGGTATCGTGTGAAGCGCTGCCCACGCAGGATCGGAATAGCATGATACTCACTCCCATGTATAACAGCTTTGCGACGTGTTCTTTAGCGGGGTGCGGACGTCGCCGTCGTGGGGCCAGGAAGAGTAGCCGTGTGTTGAGGGCCACCTATCTCTTAGTCTGGGACCGAAGAGCTGGTGTTGGTGGGCATAGTGTAACAACACTACATCTTTTCGTCACAGTAATGAGAGAAAACTCACGTAAATCTAGGTATCGGGCCCCATGCATCGACGAGACGAAAGGACTCAGACGTACATCCTACGACAACCTGAGTCGAAGGTTGACTTGAAGTGTTATGCATGACGAGCTAATCGTAAATGAGAATAAGTTTTGCGGCCCTGGGCCATGAGCAATTGGAGGAACGCACGACGAGATGATGGTATCAGTATAAATTAGGGCTTCTTCTTTTTCTGGATCGCTTCCATACTGCTCCTGGAAAGTACTCCCTGTTGATCTTATATTGCAATTTAGCATGCTAAACACTCCAAACGCAAGTCTTCTTACTCTGACCGTGCGGGTCCCCCACCCTAGGGAAATTTAGATCCCGCAACATACTATAAACACAGGAGTGACCTTCCCCGACTGGTGAACTCCACATTCATCCCTTCATCCTTTAGCCTGATCAGCTGTTCCCGGCAACCCTGGGATAGCGTAAACTCTGTTCCTACCCAAAAAACCGCGACTGTAACCGAACGCAAAATCCCCTTCTTCCATCGGTCTTCGATGCGATATCCAAAAAGGTCATCGAAAAGCCCATCGAAAAGTGCAAAATCTGCATTACCCAGGTCCACTGTCAACGTGAGACTCTGTAATCTGGGAACCAAAACATGTTTGAGGCCCTTGAGCCCGTCAAATAAGCTTTTTATGGTTTGCGCAAAATTGACATCGCACCCGGAGAGTTGTAGTATCAGCGTGGTGAGGTCTGGGTTGGCTTCTAAGATATAGATGAGGTTCTCATTGATGGGGCATTCTACGACCTTGAGGGAGGATAGATTGCATGCAGAGTGAACTGACGAGATCGTATAGCGAGGATATCTCCTGGTGGATATCTGAGGACAGATGTACGGGGCGATACAATTCCATACTCTTTAACCCTGGTAATGTGAGGCTGCGGAGGAATGTCCCATCCGTGGCGCTGAGATGCGTGATATCCGGATGCACGAAGCGAGGTGTAGGGATGGTGGGGACGGCACACTTGCTTGATAGAAAAGCTCTTGAGATGAGGCGAGGTGCGTATTATATTGAGGAAGTGTTGGCGAAGCGTCATGTCTCCGACTCTTTGCCCACCATCCGTGTATGAAGTTAGATTGGGGACTCTCCGAGGAACGAACGCTGGGAACTCGGACTCCGGGCAGGACACGGATAAGGTCTCCAATAGAGGCGCGCCATCCAAGATATACGTCGTATTATACGACTCAGTTCGAATGGACAACTGTAAGACGACGTCTTCAGCGACACAATCGAGGCTGAAAAGCACGAGA